GCGCAGAGTACGGCGATCCTCGGTTTGCAAGCACGTGCCCGGTCTCTCAGTTTCACACGCTTGGCCGGCTCCTTGGCCGCCTCTGGCTCTGTCTCTGGCTCACCTTGATGCCGTCCTTCGTGACCTCGACCTCCACCGTGATGAGGCCGCGCACGTTGCCGTCGTCGTCAGATAGGAATTCCTTTGTCATGACGGAGTACCGACGGGGGTCCTCGCCGAACACGGCCCTCACCTGAAGAACAGCCAATCGACAAGACAAACAATCATCTTCAGTAACACGCGTGGAATGCCACACGCAACGGTTCTCCTCAAGGTTTGATTCATGACGTAGGAACACTCCGAGACTTTGTTCTAGGATATGCCCCTAGTGTCCAGGGCGGCCATTGTGCGAAAATCAGCCGCCTCTTTCCCGTTCTCGAGTTTTCCACAGTAGCGCGCTGCGCATACTGTGTGCCTGTTTCTCCAGCAGCACCGCCGCCTTCGCGCATGACAAATGGTACAAAAGATCCCACCCCCCCTCGAACCGCTACGGCATGCAAAACATAAGAGTACGCCCCTCCCCCCTCGAACGGGCACACACCCAAATACCCCCGCAACCACGTACAAAGCCACGCGGATACAGCAGTAGCAGCAGGAACACAGCAGCACAAGGCTCAGAATGCCGCGTACCTCGCCGTGGCCATAGTCGATACCGAAGATCTTGGGCCACTGGGGCCACGGGTTGCCCGGGGCGCGCGAGTCAGGGGGCTGGGGCAGCAGCTCGAAGTTCACCATAGAACGGCAGCGGTGCCTCATAGAGGTACCAATGCAGTCCGTGCCCGTGTCGCCACCCTACACCATGTGTTCACGGATTTGCGGCGCAGAATCGAGGGAATTAGGCAAACATACGGAGGCGTTTAAACAAGCAGAGCGTGGCCGTACGCAGTGATGTGGGGTCCCTTGGGCGGACACGGAGGAGTGAAATCGGGCGCCAAAGCAGTGAGGCAAAACAGCGTGACGGGGAGAGCTGCAAGGCAAGTTGAATGGAGATGTGGTGTCGTTCACGAATGTTGGCTTGTTGCAAACTTAGTTGTGCAATACACCACAGCGTGTTGCTTTCCTTCTGCAGCGATTTTCTATCGCGCACTTAGTGGTAACAACTTGCGCGAGACAGAGAGAGAGAACATGATGAGAGCGGGACAACAATACGTGGCAACGCAAAACTTACCCCGATGACGATGACGTCCTTGCCCTCAGCAGAGATGAAACCGCCATCCCAGTTACTTTCCAGCTTTCCGTCACCGGTCATCAGCAGCCGCTTTTGGTTCTTGGTGAGGAACTCCATCGCGAAATGAATCCCCTTGAGCTGCGATGGTGCAGTACATTAATTTTTGCACCAGCAACGTCGACGAAGGAATCGAAGCGCATTAGCTGATGAGCCCCCTCACGACAAAGCATACCGGCTGGTCATCCAAAACAACTCAACAGCACTAGTTAGATATGATGTATTTCGAGACGTTTTTGAAAGAGACTCGTGGTACAACTGTCGAGGCACATACTTCTCTCTTGCTATTAGACTAGACTCGGCGAAAATCCAAAATAATGAAAGCATCGTTAGGCCATGAATGCTACCCTTCCCCAACCGTTCCAACGTTAATCGCCACCCTCGAACGGCACGCACCTCACGCCCCGGCACTGGCAAGTCCCTCGGCTTGGTAGACCCCACCGTGAGCACGAGGGCGTCGCAAGATGCCCGGACGTCGTTCACGTCCACGTCCACGCCGATGTTGGCCCCAGTGACGAACTCGATGCCTTCTTCCGCAAGGAGGTCAATGCGGCGCTTGACCGTGTCCTTGTCTAGCTTCATGTTGGGGATACCGTACATCAGCAGCCCGCCGACGCGGTCTTCGCGCTCGTACACGGTCACCTGTGCGGCACAAGTGGCACACCAGTGCGGTGACGTGACCGAGCTACAGTAGATAAAACACCGTCCCAACGCAGATACCTCCCGAATAGCGGGCAGGACCATCCACACATCTCGCCGCTGCCTATCCCAGAGCAGCTGCAACAATCAACCACCTCGAGCCATTCGTAGTCGGTGCACGTTTGTCCACTAGCAAGCCGTGGCAGTTGCAAGATTGACTTTTCCGTGGACTTCATTCGAAGCGGGAAACTTTCGGGCGAGGTGGCGTGGATTCGGTGGTCGGCGAGTCACCAGAGGTGTGCGTTTCTTTCCTGCACAAGCGTCCGTCGATCGTCCTGGACGACCACGAAGCTTTATCAAGTGTGACATTCAACTTTTCAAGAAAAAAAAAAATGCAGTCTACACTGCGCTTGCTGACCGGCTAACTCGTGAGACACAAACCACAACCAAGTTCACCTTGTGGCCCATCTGGTTAAGCTGGTCGGCAGCGGCAAGGCCGGCCGGACCCGATCCCACTACAGCCACGTTCATCCCGGTGCGGTGGGTGGGGATGCGAGGCACCACCCAGCCCTCCTCGAAAGCCCGCTCGATGATGGAGTACTCGATGCTCTTGATCGTCACCGGTGAGTCGATCAGCCCGGCAACGCAGGCCCCCTCGCATGGGGCGGGGCAGACGCGTCCCGTGAACTCCGGGAAGTTGTTCGTCTGCGCGTTTGCAAGGTCAGGTCGCAGCGTGCGAGGAGAACAAGCGGCGTGAGACGGGTTAACTGATGCTACATGTGCGTATGCATACGTGAGAAGATTGGGTCACTTATGGTCCCGTAGGTTGTATTGTCGCTTTTCCCTATGCCGTTTCCGTTTTCGAGGCAACCAAGGATGACAAACTCCGTGACGTGAACGTGTACCATGTAAAATGTCAAGTTTCGCGTCAGCTGTGGGATGAAATGACTCTCGTCAAAGTGGTTGCTACATACATCCTGCCTGTGTTGCGTGTTCTGTGAGATCTTGCGTGTATTGTAGGGGCATGGAGCCCAGTAGCTGAGGGCCAGGCCTATGTGTTTTCGTCCCATCGTTTTCTGGCGCCAGTCTCAATCACGAAGGAAGATTCACAGAGACTTAGAATGTATTGTACCCGCCTGCGGTGCTGTATTTAAGCCTTTGATGGTCTACTGTACCCAACGCGGGTTCATCAGTCCACTGCTTCGTACTCCCAATCCAACATCGCTTTCCACCAAAGTGTTTACTCCCGAGACTAAAATCGAACTCACAGCCCTCTCAATTCTAGAGGTCACGCGGTCACTACAACAGACCACCCAGGGACGGCCTTCGGGGCGTTGAGTCTGTTTTCCAGCACCCCGAAAACGTTAATTTAGTAGGTCTCTGATCGTGATTGTTCCGAAAACCTCATACGAAAAAGCAATGGATTCAGAGCGTCATCGGAAACTACCAATAATTCTACGATTTCCCAAGCAGCATACAGCGACATCCCCCCCCGTGGATAACAGGCTCAACAAGACTGGTTTTCAGCGCAGCGATACACCGAACCTGAACACTGAACATTCGATATAAAAATACAAAAAAAAAATAGCCTGGGCTACTCCTCGAGTCGTGCTCCGTCTTCCGACCCTACCGAGTCCTTAGGTATAATTCGCATGTTGTTTTCCCCAGCATCAAAAACAGCTTGATGGCAATCATTTGTAATAACCAGGCTAGAATGAGGTTCCAAGTTGGACGAGGTGTCGTCATGCAACAGCCAGAGAGGTCGGCGATTACTTGCTTGCCCACCAACTATTACTTCTGCCAGAGAGCCGCGCAGATTTTGCGGAAATTCCGAAATTTCAGACTCCTTTCGGGAGCAGTAGCGTCGCTGTTTTCGCATGTCATCATCGAGGGGTTCCCTCGAAGCGTGTGAGCGACATCAGGCGTACTGCATACTAAAGTCGACGACGACGGCAAGCCATGCCGCGTTGAATATTCGTTTACAGCAAATAGCGACATCCTTCCAATAGCGCAACCACCCTTGTGGCACAGCAGCGTATGTATGCATAGGTACTCGTGTGCGTGGGAAACATGCCGCTGACGGTGCGGGTACGTGTGATACCTTTTCCCTTTTTCCCTCCCCAATTTTTGGTTGAAATTGCATGCACGAACTGCTGCTAGCACTGTCGACCCACCGAATGCTACCTCGCTACGCCAGCGGCATGCCTGCGACAACACTCGACCGAGCTATCAGCACAGGCGGCGGAGAGAGTGATCAGGAGCTTATCACAGCAGCACACGTGTGTCACCTTGTGGAGGCTCTCGATGGCATCCCGCCAAGCGCCTTTGAACACCAGCTCATTCCACTCGGGGATGAGGTTGTGAATGGGGCACCCGGTATGCGTCTGGCAGAAGGGTGTGCCGCAGTCCATGCAGCGCGCCGCCTGCACCGTTCGCTCAACCTCGTCGTGGCTCGCATCGTTGATCTCCCCCCAGTCGAACACGCGCTCCAGGGGGTCACGGTACGGGTCCGGGTTGCGATAGTAGTCGATAAACCCCCTCGTCTTGTCGATGTTTCCGAAGGTGCCGTCGCGACGCTTCACTTTGGGTGTGTTGTCCGTGGTGTCGGACTGATCCCGCCAGATCTCGTGGTTCTGGCCCACGGCGAAGCATCGCTGCTGCTGCGCTCGTGCGGCGGCGGGTACCTTCGACGAGGCTCTCCTCGCACCGTTTCGTACTGCTGCGGAAATCATCAGCTCTCAAGTCTCGTGAGCGGTGATGTTGTATGTGTTCGTGTTTGGGTCAATACGCACTTCCAGTCAACAACCAATCGGCCCGTCTTATGTACGACGCGCGTTCTCAGCGCGAGTGAAGAGCCAGGTGCTGCTTGCCTCGACCTGATTTAAATGCCTAGCGTGCGTAATTTTTTTGCGCTCTCTCTCCTCTGCTACCTTCGTGTTGCTGTGTGTCGCGTGTGTTCGAGTCTTGCGCCTCGGAACTGCTAGACAGAGGCGCGACAGAAGGGAAATTGCAACTACTTTGACACGCCTTTTTGCATTTTGCGGGAAGTTGGAGTAATATCCCCTCCCCCCCTATGTCCCGCTCTGCGGCGCACCACTGCTTAAGGGCGGACTTTGCAGTTTGGTTGGCACTGCCCTTGGCGTGTGGCGATTGATCTATAGGTGAGTACTTCGAGACGACGGCAGGAGAGAGGGTCGCCTTCTATGTAATTTCATGTTGCTTGGCTAGACCTTGACTGCTGTGCTGGGTCCAATACCACGTCTCGAAGAACGGGAGAAAACGATGTCTTGAACACTGACCGCTGGACATCTCCCCAGCAGCGGTACGCTGTCGGTCTCATGTTCGAAACTCGAAACACGTCGCTGGTTTGTATCCCAGCGTCGACTACGTTGTCATTACGGCAGCGCGTAGGCCCTGCAAGGATCGCCCCTGCCGGAACTCAATCGCTCGCTACAACCCGTTGCTCGTGACAGCGCCCTACACCAGGTTTACCGATCGATTTGCATGTTTGTGCCGTTGAACTGCGGTGACCATTGCGCAACCAGCAGCTCGCAGCCAAATGCATCGCACGGTATATGGTCTGCTGTGAGGTAATACCGTAGGGACGTCGTAAGATAACACACACATGAGATATTGTACAGACACCCCCACAGAAAACAACCCCCGTTCGCCAATATTTTTGTATGAATCGCAGCAGTAGTCGACGCAGGTCTTTCAAGGAAGTAGACATACATAGTTACTTGGATAAAATGTAAGTAGGTTAATAGTCCCATGCGGCCACGAAGCATGCGATAACGGACAACATGCTGTTACTGCTGTCGTAATGACACACAGCAGCGGTCCCTGAAAACGTACAAGATGGCCCAGCAAGGAAAATACGCAACACACCCTCTGAGAGCGCGGGGGAACCGCCCCGTGTGGCAATGCAGACTTGTTCTCACTCACCTTCTTGGCATACCTGATAGTCTTGAATGATAACCTTCTTTTGTGCCAGGCGTCAGGAGTGATGCATGAAACTTTTTATTCTGTAGATCTGTCGTAAGGTTCTGTACTGGCACATTCTTCTTCTTTTCAACGATGTCGAGAGAGGGCTGTTGGCGTCCATCGCGGGGGTCATGTCATCATCACCTCCGCGGGCATCACCCCCCTCCCCTCGGCACGAGGCGGTGATGTCAGTGCTATCACCCCCGCTCAGCACCGCACACCATGCAAGTGCGGCAGCAGTACGGTAGCGTTTTTTTTTGCAGGAAGGGGTATCACACTCCCTCAATATCAAGCCTGCGCGCGTCGCCGCAGGCACGGTAGGTACATTTGCAGACAGTGCTATACACACCCTGGTTGTCACACAACCTTCATGTCTCCCACGAACTGCACTTTGTCACCCGGGTTACATAAGATGGCATCCCCTCCCACAGAATACAACAAATGGTTAGGGTTGATGTATATTTTAAAGCCAAATTGTATTCCCCGCGGTGTGTCATACAGCAGTATACGGTATAGATACATTTGAGTCTCAGGAGGTAACGTAAACGAATTTTGTGGCAATTTAGTGATTCGAGATTTCTCAGGTCCACTCGACCACGCACTCGGGGGACAAAAACATGGACTACTTGCTGCTGTAGCTTGCACATGTCAACGAGGGACTTATGTTTCCTGACGACTTGAGGAACATCTGGATTCCCGATGTTAGTTGTCCCACAGAGGTATTCTTCACCTAGTGTTTCCGAGTTGGCATAGTCTATCTGTTGTTGTTGTTGTTGTTGTTGTTGTTGTTGCCTTCACATTACACATCCGTCCTCTTCCTTACCACTCACTCTCCCAAGGGGAAACAAATCTTCCGTGGTCTGGGTCATCGGCCATTGTAACCAACAGCATGATTCAGTATAACATGCATTTTCTCGAACAGGTGGACGACTACTCTATGTAATTCCTGATCATTGTGTCATAATTTTCTCCGTCCCCCCCCCCTCCCCCCCTTCTACTCTCCACGGCGCGAACCATAAAGCCATCACTCTAAACAAGTAATCAGCTCACGACTATGGGGAACACAAGCCGTGGCGGGAGCTGCTTGTTGGTAGCCTCGGTGCTCGCTCTTGGTCTCGGCCCTCGTTCAGGGTCGGCATGTACAACCATCGTCGTCGGGAGGAACGCTAGTGCTGATGGATCGACCATGTCCACGCACAACGCAGATGTGAGGCCGGCCGATCGTACGGCACACACAAAAGCACTACAATCGCGCAATGTACATCCGTCTTGTACATAGGTATCGTGAATGCGTGGTATCATTCGACGTTGTCTGTGACGGTGCATCCCAAGTTGCACTGTTTAACCCTGACATATTGTAGGGGTCCTGCGTTTACATCTGCACTATCGCAGCATCGTGAGTCTGCTTCATCACGGAGGGAAGCATAATGAGGATGATGATGGCAGTTCGGTGAACCTCAGTAGATATGGCGGCCGGACACCCAGCCTAGGTTGTTAGGCCGTTGGTACCCACACACATGGTGTGCAACAGGGCCGACGGCAATCTAGTCCACGGCCGATATATCATGTTTACTAACCAGTGCTTGCGTGTGTCACCGGCGCACGTGCCGGTATGCTGACCCTCGTGCGCTTTCGTGTTGTTCTCCTCTTGGGAGTGTAACGGCCGCCCCCCTACAGATGAAGAGTACGCACAAAGCTTGCCGCAGTAATCAATTCCCGCGGTGTAGGTCTAGACTCGTGGGGGGTCAGAGACAGCCGCGGCGAACACGTTTAAGCGTTGACCCCATATGTCAAAACACCGTGTCGTCATGGTGAAGCGGACCTGGTCCAGTGGCCACATTGCGCTCCACGTGTAATGAAAACATTCTTCGCGTCGTTGGCGCATGTGTTTGAATGTGTGTATGGTGGCGTGCATCTGGTAATCCCTTGAGATCGAATCCCCCCGCCGTCGACGTGGGCTAGTGAAAAAAACGATCGACACGTCCTCCTGCGTTTGGTACCTCAACTACCCCCCCCCCCCCCCCCCCCCCCCCCCCCCCCCCCCCCCCCCCCCCCCCCCC